CGAGAAAACCTCTTACACTGAGGAGCCGCTCTGTCGGGCAGTGCTTCCTCATGTGTAGCCGAAAACTCTTTGGATTTAATTACAACCTCTTGGTTCTGGTCCGACTTTCTGGGGCAACAGGAAACAACTCCGCACCATCCTCTACAGGGCAGCCCTTCAAATACTCAAAGATGGCCCTCATATCACCTCTCGTCTCCTCTCCAGGCCAATCATACCCAGCTCCTTCAACCTTTCCTCATCAGGCTTGATCTCCAGACCCCTCCCCATCTTTGTTGCCCTCCTCTGGACACGGTCCAGCTTGTCTGTATCCTTCTTAAACTGTGGTGCCCAAAACTGAACACAATACTCCAAGTGAGGGCTAACCAGAGCAGAGTGATACCATCACTTTGCGTGATCTGGACACGATACTTCTATTGATGTAGCTCAAAACCGCATTTGCCTTTTTAGCTGCCACATCACACTGCCGACTGAGCCACAGGCCCCTCTATGCAGGGTCTCAGGCGGAGGTCTTTTCCCATCACCTCCCGCCTGGGCCTTTTCAACTGGAGATGCTGCCGGGGACTGAACCTGGGGACCTCCTGCATGCCAAGCAGAGGCTCTTCCACTGAGCCACGGCCCCTCTTTACAGTTCTCCAGGGTCTCAGGCGGAGGTCTTTCCCATCACCTCCCGCCTGGTCCTTTTCAACTGGAGATGCTGCCAGGGATTGAACCTGGGACCTCCTGCGTGCCAAGCAGAGGCTCTTCCACCGAGCCATTCCCTCTGTATGCCATTGGGGGGGGGGTGTCCCCTGTTGAATAGGAGCAACATTTCCAGGATTATTTTTGACTCCTGCAGTGTGGGAGAGGTAAAGAAGTCCATCAGCAGAGTCACTGTTGGATCCAAGCCCTTGTGTTCTCCCATCTCTCCGGGCTAAGTGTGTCCCCGAGTGGAAGCACCTGACCGCTGCTTAGAGACTCTCACCCACTGCCGCTTCGGAGGGAAGGCGCTTGCAGTCGTGTGTATGTGTGTGTGGGGGGGGAGAGAGACAGCGAATGGGATCTCTGAAGCTGCGCAGGGTCGGCCCTGGTGAGTGCTTGGAGGGGAGACCGGCCAGGAAGTCCAGGGTCGCTCGGCAGAGGCAGGCCATGGGCAAAACCACCTCTGAACACATCTCTGGCCTTGGAAGCCCCCGAGGGGGTCACAGGACCTACCCTGGGCAGTGCTTGCCACCGCCATGTGGACACCAAGGGCCCAGTCCTGTTTACAGAGGAGGTATGATGGCGGGGGGGGGATGCTTTTGGCACACCAGTCAGCTGGCACGCGGTGACCCGGGCAGAACCGGGAGAGCAGCTGGAGCCACTCCGTGGGCCACCCAAAGCGTTCCCGGTGGTGCACTGGTTGGTTCTCATGCTGAGTCAGAGAGCGCTATATCACCCCCTCCCCCCCAAAAAAAAATCCCTCAGGGGTACAGTATGGAACACGTGGTGATGTGGTAGAAACAGCCCAAGTTCCTCATGGTACTAAGAAGAGTGGAATGCGTGAAACATTCCCCACGGGGGAGGGGGGGAAATTCCCTCAGGCAGGGCACTTCCTCTGGAGGACAACCCCCCCCCCCCCCATGAAAGAACTTGCTGGTGAGCAGAGCGGGACTCAGGCAGCCACGGCAGCCGGCAAACCTCGCTGGACCCAGCCCGGGTGTGTGTGTGTGTGTGGCTGAACTAGCTTCATGTGAGAGCCACATCGTGGAAACGTCAGATGTCTGAGAGCCGCAAGGCATGAACAGATTTCACACTCACGTTTTTATTGGAAAATATGCAAATTTGCTTTTTATTAACATTAAATAAGACAGGCAGGAATGACAACAAAAGGGGTAAAAACAGATATTGATCAATGCTATTTAAAGAGACAAATGCTTTCTCCAAGCTGGCGGCGGGGGGGGGGGGCTTTGAGAATGCATTTAAAATTAAATTTGCTTTCTTTCTCTGCTCCCCCCCCACCTCCAGCCTACCCAGGGAGGGGAACACTGGCTAGGGAAGAGAAGACGGGTCAGGGAGGCATGCCTCCCCTTCGCTTCCCTACCTACCCTGCCAGGAGCTGCACAGTATTTGTGAAAGAGCCGCATATGGCTCCCGAGCCGCAGTTTGGCCACCCCAGGGTTAGAGGGAGCATTGGTGGTGGTGGGAAAGCACCGTAAGTCAGCAGTAGGGAAGAGACAAACAGAGGCAATTTGCGATTGCCTGCCTCTGCATAGCAACCAGGGGTCATTTCCTGCAGGAGCGCACAGGAGCGGAGCTCCGGCAGTAAAGAGCCCAGGGGGCGGGCACGCTCAATCAAAGTCAAAGTTGCTCTCTTTCTCTGCTCCCCACCACCACCTCAAGCCCACCCAGGGAGGGGGACACTAGCCGGGGAAGGGAAGACCAGTCGAGGGGGGGGGACCGCCTCCCCTTCGCTTCCCCAGCCGCCCTGCCAGGAGCCGCACAATAGGTGTGAAAGAGCCGCCTGTGGCTCCCGAGTCGGTGGCGCTCCTGATGCGTCTGAGGTCTCCCCCCCCCACAGGTCCCACCCCCCCCACCTCCCTGTGACGCTGCAGGAGAAGGCGGGCCACAGTTGCCACTGAAGGCTCCTGGCCACGTGAACCCTGACCTGCTGCCCACCCTGGAGCGCGACCAGGAAGGCTCGCTTGCGAGGGGAAGCCCAAACCTGAACACGTGAGGAGGGGGAGGAGGGTGGAGCCCCATCCAGGGTGGGGGGGTGGGGGGGCAAAGGGAAAACTGACAGTCCAGATCCTCCCCCCACCCCCAACAAATCCGGCCGCGGAGGCGGGAGGCAACGTCGTCTCGGGCGGCTGTGGGGAGACGAAAGCGACCGAAGGGCTCCGGTGCAACTGAAGCGGTGGGCTTGTGCTTCCTCTCGTCTCTGCAGGGGGGAGACGGGCAGCCCGGAGCACGGCGGCTCTTCGGCGGTCGAGCAGGAACTGGCCGCCCTGGACTCCGAAATGACCCAGAAGCTGATCGAACTGAAGGAGAAGCAACAGCAGCAGCTGCTCAATCTCCGGCAAGAGCAGTACTACAGCGAGAAGTACCAGAAGCAGGCCCACATCAAGCGGGTAGGCCTGGTGGGCCGGGCCCCCCACCCTGTGTGTGTGTCTCCCCCCCCACCCACCCCCAGGCACTTGCAAGGCCCGTCCTGCTGGGGGGCGGGGAGGGAGGTGGGCTGGCGGCTGCCTGGCGGGCTCCTGGTGTCAAGGTTTCTTTAGGTGTAAGAGTCCCCAGAGTTCTGATGACACCCCCTCCATCACCAATACAGCTACAGACCCCCCCCCGCCCGCCCAGGGACACGGGCTTGCTGCATGAGGTGGCTTCTTCACAGGAGCTCAGAGCCGAAAGGGAAATCAGCCAATAAAGTCGATAGCCCGTGTGGTGGAGTGGTTGGAGTGGAATCCGAGAGAACAAGGTTCAGATCCCTGCCCTGCCATGGAGGCTTGCTGGGTGACCTTGGGCCAGCCACACGCTCTCAGCCGAACCTACCTCACAGGGTTGTTGTGAGGATAAAACGGGAGAGAGAAGAAATGTGTAAGTCAGCTGAGGGGGCCCCATTGAGGAGAAAGGTGGGGCATAAATAGACGAGTGAAAACAAAACAAGTATTTTGACAGTGGAATTCTAGAGGAATAGGGAAAATGGAACAGTCGTCTAGCGGCACCTGAGCTGCCAGCAGTCAAATCTAGTTGTCACGGCATGTTTATTGGCAAAATGCACATACCGTAGCTCTTTTCAGCAGAATGGCAGCTGTCTGTCAAATGCTGTCAGATTCTAAAAATTGTTGCATACTCAGTAGCCCACCTCATAACTAAACTTCCCAAGGTGGTTTTCAAGAAAATGATACAAATACTGTCTGTCTGTCTGTCTGTCTATCATCTGTCATAGAATCATAGAGATGGGAGGGGCCATACAGACCACCGGGGTCACTTTGTAGAAAAAGAGGTGCAGGAGCTCATTAGCATAACTTGTTTGCATGTGCCACACCCCCTGGCGTCACCGGAAGTGTGTCAGAAGGCAACACCCACCACTCAGGCTCCACTGGACTGTTTTGGATTGCTAGCTATGGGGGGGGGGAATGCGCAGATCTGTCCTCACAGAGGAGGGAGAGCTTGTGCCTGAATAAAACTTGGCTTTAAAGGTGCCACTGGACTGTTTCGGGTTGCTA